TAATTGCGGAAATAATCATACCAAACAGAGTACACCGCACGAAGTGGCATTTCGTCAACATCAGGAATAGATTCAGAAGACTGAACTATAACAACATAAGAATTTTCACCATCAATCACTGCATCTGTATCAGCAGGGTCAGTGTTCATAATTAAACCCGAATACTTATAAAAAGCATTAGCAAACACTTCAACACGCAATTCGTCATCAACTTGCACTTGACGAGCTTCAGCAATAGCTTCAGCAACACGTTCAACCTTTAAAGTCCATAAATTATGGTCGCACAAAGTACGAAAATAATCAAGAACCTCACTATAATATGACAAAATAGGATAACCTAAATTATCCAGAGTAGATTCTTCACCAAATAAAGGTTTACACAAAGCATAAACAGCATCAGCAAATGACAAATTAGGATTAGGATAAAGACCACCAGAATCAGGAGAGTTTAATTTCACCCAATCTTTAAGATATTCCAAATACTCAGCAATAAAATCATCGTGATTTCCGTGAGTTTTGAAATCCAAAACACCATCACGGTCTAATTCGGAAGCAATAACTTGAACAACTTTCAACACAAAATTTTTATAACTATGCTGATAAGTATGAGAAATTGAAACCAAATAAAGAAGTTGCTTAAATGATGAAACAGAATCACCATCAAACACACCGACAGAAATACCATCAAGCCACTCTTGCAACAAAGCAAACACATTAAAAGATGGCAACGTCTGAGAAGCACCACCGTGCAAAATAGACTCTTGCCATTGACGATATTGATTGTTAATCCGTCGAGAAGATACCACAAACGAGTGAGAATCCAAACGCATTCGACCAGCAGCAGGAGTAGCAAATTTTTCAAGCTGCAATTTTGGCTTCAACGAACCTTTTAAGGTATCGCCCGGAATAAGTTTCTCACAACGTAAAGGAATAAGTTTACCAAATCGCAACGAAAAAGCATCGTTTTTGGTAAGGTCAAAAGAACTGCGTTTTGGTGCAGATACTTCGAGAGAACGCACGTCAACATTCGTGCGAGTAAAATTGTTTTTAGACATAATAAAAAAATTGTTAAGGGTTAGGTTTAATTAAATTAAAAGCAATCACTATTGCTTTTTGGTTGCATCATAAGATTCAACCGTTTTGGTGGTAATCGTGCAAGTTGTATCACCTTTTTGGAAATACGAAGATTCAGTTGTAACAACGCGCGTAACGTTGCAGGAAGTACAACCAAAAGCAATACCCAAAGCAATAGCAACAGCCACCAACACACCAACAGAAACTTTAATAATCTTCATAATGATAATGTTTAAAGGGTTAATGTTTTTTATAAAGGTTCTTGAACTTTTCAGCACCAACAGTTTTCGCAATGGTACCAAGTTGCGAGCCACGATGATAATCAGCGGCAGCACTATCAGCGCGATGAAGTTCATCCATATTTGCGTAACGGTGAACGTCTTCCATATCAGCCAAAGGAATACCGTTATAATCCGCTTCGGTTAATGGCTTCGGGAATCCCTCAGGAATCCGAGTGTTTGGAGGAGGGCAGCAGTTCGAGGAAAGAACAGGCAACGACATCCGAGTGGGCGGAACTGTACCGCCATTTTGCAAAATTTCTTTTTCTTTACGTGTCATAATTAAAAAATTTTAGGAGTTGTTAAATTATGTTTGATAGTCATTTCTTTACGTGTGGCAATAAATTTCTCTATTTCCTTTTGAGTATCATCATCCTCTAATATCAATTTTTGTGCGTTAAATACTGTATCAATATGCTGCAACTTATAAGGAAGTCGAGCAATCTCTGCTTCTATATATTCCAAAATCCAATCAATGAAATCATCTTTGTAAATATATTCACGAAAGACGTACTCACGCACATGACGGTCAAAAGAATACCCCTCGAAGATTTCGTGAAAAGGGTCATAAGAATAATGTAAAACAGTATCATCAACACAATACAAGTCTATTTGGTCAAGTGTGCCAAAGAACGGATTCGGGTCAGACGCAGCACCCGATTCTTTATCTACCTTTGCAGTCAAGCAGTAGCATTCGCGGAGGTCGAATCGTGCATCACGTCGCCATTTTCCTGCCGCATTCGGCATAAAACCGCGTACATAATAATAATAATTCGAATCAGTGCGCAGTCCCAAAAGATAATCGCGCAAACGTGGCAATAAATCCTTAGTTGGCGAGATACCACTACAAACGATTTTACGCAATCGGACAGGGTAACGTTTTTGTGAAAGCAAACGAGAGAAATAACTTGGGAACGCAACCTTTTTGCCCATGAAGTCAGGCAAAGCAAAATTTTCTGCTTCAAATCGGTGAGAGTTTTGTAAGAAATAAGTTTTGCCGAGAGCAGGGCGGCGAGATGATACGAAGAACGGCGACACCATCTTCGAAAATTCAAATTTAGATACATCATAAGGGTAATTATTAAATAAGATTTTATTTTGTTTAGAAATACAATCAACAACACGTTTTGAAACGTCAGTGTTTACCGTATATATACCATTCAGACATAAATACGCGTCATCTATTCGGTCACGTAACTGTACAGGCATATTTGAAAGATACGTGTTCGGGTCAGATTTTCCAAGATACTTTGCAACATAAGTGAAATTATCGTGTCCCTCAAACATAGAAGTATCAACTTCGCCCGGGTGACGACCGTCATAGTTCAAAGAACCGTTTGCGACCAAATCGTGCATATCAACACCGCCGATTCGGAAACGAAAGAAATTCGGAAAATCCTCTTTTCTCAATTTGGAACGGTCAACTTTGGCAGGCAGAGAATCCAACCACCATTTCGGAAATCCACGAAACGGTCGAACGAATAGACGTCTATCCTTACCGTTGCAAATCGGGTCATTCGCGTTAACTCTTTGGCACTCAATAGACCAAGCTTCGCAAACATCCTTATAAGTGATTTCCTCGTTAGAGTAGAGTATTACATGAAAATGTGGGCGACAATAAGTACTTCCATATTCGCCCGCAGCCGCGTAAGAAATTTCAAAAGGCAATTTGGCACGTAATCGCTTTAAGAACTTAATAAGATGCACACGGTTTAATATCGTGGGCATTACACGCGGCATACGAGACGAATTGAAAGTGCTTAATATCGGGAACGTTTCGAGCCAGTCAGCGAGAAAAGGATGTTTTTCGAACTTGCTCAAATCATACGTGCCATATGTTAACGTAACGAAATAAACATGTTTATAATCAAGCGCGTGCAAGAACATTCGCGCAGCCATCTGCTCACGCCTATTATCGCAACACTTTATGCAGCGACCACAATCGCAATAAATCGGCTTATATTGTCCATTTTCAGAAAAACGAACCATAAAGCGACGGGGCATCAAACAACCAGCAGTTGCGTAACCTGAGGGCTTTAATCCCTGTAAAATCCGAGTGGCTGATGAAAGTGGTAACATATTAACAATATTCAGGACAAAGTAAACTGAAAGGAGTATCAAATAATCCGTAACCAAATGGGACTACATCAGAATAAACCTCTTTATATTGTCTATAAGACGCATAACTATCCAATGAAAATGAACCTAATTCTTTGCAATAAAAATGTACACTCATAAATAACTAAAAAGACCAATAAACACGGAACTCATAAGGTGTAGTAATTTTATTACGTCTGATGTCAATAATTGAATCACCGTAATCAAAACGCAGGAACGTGCAAGCGGTATTGATAAACATATATCGCAAGTGAGTTACAAGAACATCAACATCAAACGGAACAATAATGTCACGTGATGCTTTGATGAAACGACCGTATACCAAGTTACATTCAAAAGTAGTGGTAACTAATTTTTTTTGATTTTTTTGTGCCATAATTTTGTATATTAAAAAATTTGTTGTATCTTTGCAGCGATTTTCAAAAGTGAAATGTCGCTATAATTGGGATTATGCTAATTGTTAAAAACGGTGCAAAAGTACCGTTTTTTTTTGATATATCAAAATTCATATTTACAAGTATATTATTTATATATACATAGTATATATATATTTTTTTTGGTATTTTATTTTTGCTATTTACAAGTAGCAAAAAGGGTATATATTTATATTTTTCATTGAACTTTGTATTTTATACACTTGTGAATCGTAAACTCTTCACAAATGTATTATACAAGTTCAATATATTATTAGGACACAATCCAAGTGTGCGGACTAAGTACCGTAGGTTATCGCGTAGCTCAACCATAGATTGCAGCACAAGACTGTTGACAAACGCGCGTGCGCGCGTGTGGTATTGTCAATGGAACATATAAGTATCAAGTTTCTCCCACTTTTCACGGAAAAGTGGTCAAAAAAGATTTTAGTTATTTATGCGGCAGTTATTAAAAATAACTGCATAATTTGAAGACCGTGCGCGACAAAAATACGTGCGAGGTGGTAACACCTCACACGTTGCGCACTACTTATAGAAGCAAAGACTACTTAATAACGGCAGCAGCTACTTTTGCAATCTTTATTGCATCCTCAGCATCTAAATCCTGCATAGGATTTTTACCTTTTTTGACGTGTGCCATTCCAACTTCTTTGTTATTGTGGATTCGCACACCTTCTTCGGTAAGTTCCACGAATTTCTCAATATGTTGCAATACTCCGCATTTGTCAAGAGCATCAAACATTTCACAGAATCGGTAATACGTAGGATGTTTAGAAAGCAAATCATAACTTTGCTTATTACGAAGCAACATCAGCAATTCAAGCTGCAACTTAGATTTTTCATCCGTTAAATTGCGGTCAATCCAAGTTTTTACAAACTCATCATTCGACCACAAGGAAGCATCCGCAGTTGCTTTTTCAAATTTTGCCATAAAGGAAGCACGGTCAGCAGAAGTAATAACATCGTACAATTCATCCGAGCGATTCGCTTCGTTTAAAAGTAAACGGTTTGCACGTTTCTGCCCAATAACTTGTTGCACAAGCAAATTACCTGCTTCTTCTTCAACTCTCTTTTGCTCTTTAATCAAAGCCATTTCTTCGGCAGTTTTGCCTTCAAGCGATTGCAGATACTTGATATGTTCGGCTTTTTCTGATGAAGACACTTGCGTCATAATCGTATTCGCGTAATTGAAATCAATATCACTCGAGATTTTATCAATCCGCTCGCCCATCGTAAGATTATCAGTGTACACTTTACCGAGAAATGCATTAAACGAACGAATAGCAGGACTAAAACGTTCCATTCGTTGATACTCAGGCGACTGAATAAATGGCTGCCAAATTTTACCGACTTCTGATTCGGGGTCAAGTGAATGAATCCAAGAACCTAAATCGGCAAATGAATGCACTTTGTTTTTATCAATCGTGTGAATATTCTTCGCAACAAAGTTCAAAGCATTGTGAGCAGTCCAAGCACCCATAATACCACCATCATCGGAAGCAAAAGAATCAAACAATAATTTACCTGTATCAGCAACCATATTTGCAATAGATGCACCAACCTGCTGCATTCCTTTGGCATATGTGGCTGCCTGCTCACGCATACTATCAGCAGTCATTTCGCCAAGAGCAGCAACATCAACACCCTGCATCTGGTTAACTGATTCAGCAGGAGTATAAGTAGGAACACCCATTTCACCTGCTGCACCAGAGCCTGCAATTATTTGACGTGCCTGTTGCTCGCTCAATCCTGCTGCAACGAGTTGTTTAAGTTGTCCCAACGAATTATTACGTTCGAAAGCCAAATCAGCAGCCTGTTGGTCACGTTTCCAAGCCAAATCAGCCTGTTGCGCTTCGAATCGTTGCTGTTGACGATTCGCCTCACGTTGGAGCTCATTTTGCTCACGTTGAAATTCAAGTTGCTTTTCAAGTGCTTCTTCTTGCGCTTTAATTTGTTGTTTTGTTGTAACTCCCTGAGTAATCGCATTTATTAAATCATCAATAATTAGCATAATAGTAAGAAATTAAAAAGCAGGGCGGCAAAGAACCGCCCTACCAAATGAAACAAAATTACACAAATTCAACCTTTGCAGGCAGTGAGCGTTCAATAAAGAGCGGCATTTCAATTTCACCAAACGCGATGGAATCCCAA